TGCCCAATAAAAACTTCTGTCTACTGGACAACCGAACCCGTGTCTGTCGTTTTCTGACAGGCTCCTCACGTGGCCTTTGCAACACTTTGAGAAAGGAACCGCAAATCACTCGACGGAGCCTGGAATAATAGCCGCTCTGTCCTTCCCTGTCAGCGTGGTGAAAGGCGACTCTTGTTTTGGGCTCGACCTCTGGAGAACTTAGGGGGCCTTTTCTTCTCTCGGAGCTCAGCCAGGCCTAGCGAGGGAGGCGCGCATGGCTGGCTGGATCTCGGGGGGCAAGGCGCTGCCTCAAAAAGGGTGCCATAGCTCCAAGAAACGTGCCCATCCGACTCTTGTCTGGACAACCCGGCCACCCCCCGTTGGCAACGTGACCGTCCTTCCAGGGAGTTTGTGGTAGCTTGTTCAAGGTGACCTTCCCAAAGCATTTTGAACAGCCTGAAACGCTACCCGGTGGGCGGCCTGATCCATCTGCTTGGGAAAGGGAAGGAAAGTTGTGTGGCCAGGGGTTTCCCTGCCTTTCTTTGGGCTTTTAAGGGCTGCAGATGTGCCGTTCTGGAGCCCCCTCCTCACATACGTGAAGCTGGCTGGCCCCAGCGGAGATCCTCTTCTGGGGCAGGCTGCAAGAAGGAAGCTGCTTTTCTGCTTTTTCCTGGAGGTATTTCTAAGTTGCTCCCCACTTCCAGGCTATTTTGAGTAAGGTATTGCACGGAGCATTTTACAGTTCTGGAAAAGTAGCTGCAGAGCCTTCCGTTGCTGCAGTTCAACCTCTTGAGAACATACCCCACCTCCCGGAGGACCCCAAAGCTCACCCCGAGGGCTGCTAGTATAATCTGGGATAGGAGCGCCCTCGTCAACCCACCCAACGCTTGTCAGCCTGTTTTCCTCTCTGGACCGGAGCCATCTGAACACTCTACAGCCACTGCGATCTGAGGGCCTCACACGCGGATGTGCCCCACCTGTGGGAGCCCCTTGGGCTAGTCGACCATGGCCTGCTCCCCCACCAACCTTTGAACGGCATCTGAGATTGGGTCTTCAGGAACAGCCTCTGGCTGCCAGGGACCCTTGCCTTCCGAATATGGTAGCCCAGGGTGTTGCACCGGTTGGCCCGGCAGTCGAGGCAGCGTCCCTTGTCAAACATCTGCATGTCTTTGCACCAGTAGCCTGTGATCGGCTTATGGCTGTGCCGTAGGGAGTCAATAAACAGGTGGACCGACCTCTCGTGGGCACATTTCACCGTCTGGGAGAGCCCTGCAGGAAAACAGAATGGTGGAATTCAGCAAGTCGGAGGCTCTTCCATCCTGCCCACCCACCCACAGAACGGGCCACTTCTTCTCCAGGTTCTGCTGCCAGAGTCCCTCCACCACAAGCCTGCCTTTGCTCTCCTCTTGAACCATCATTCCACTGCAGATGGAGGGGTCCTCACTGATGAAGACTAGGTTCATCAAGCCGGTGTTGGTCTCCTGGGCTGCCAGCAAACCCCAGCATTGCCAGAGGCCATGGAACCCCGGTCCTGTGGCATGCAGTGGGGTGTTCTGCCTCTGAACCAGGCTGTGCTTGGAGACCCTCAAAGGCTCCATTCCATGAAGGTCAGCGTGAGAAAACAAGAGGGCATCTTGGTGCCAGGGATGAATCTCTCCTCCAGCTTCATGACTGTCACAACCTGGGAAGGTTAGTAGTCCCCCTCCCAGCCCTGGGCAGCTGCACCCCAGTTCCACTTTGTAGGCTCCAAAGGGAACTGGACGTCGACCCCTGCAGGGCTTCCTTCTGGAGCTCCTGGCATGGCAGAGACCTGCCCTTTAAGGCAGGGAGGGAGAATTGGGAGAGATGCCCAGTGGTTAAAGCTCAGAGGGTCTCATGCAGCCGCTGGCCCACCTCGCTTTGCCTCGGTCACCAGCCTGCTTTCAGCTCTGAATCCTGGCTCACAGCCCTGCCTTGGGGCCTTCTGCTAGCCCCCGATGGACTCAATTTGGAAGGCTCCCAATACATGGTGCCTCCTTTTGTGCCCGTTCTTACCCGTGATCCCATACTGCACAATGTGGTTGTAAACATGCATGATGTGGCAGCCAGGCTGAAAAGTGCCCCCGTTGGGATAGAAGTCAAAGTGAGCCACGGGCTGCTTGATCCCCACACTGAGGCCCATGTGCTGCTGGGTGAAGGTGTGGATGGCATCAACAAAATCAGCGTCATCTGGCGACAGGCGGTCTGTTGGTGACATGCCTTCAAAGAGGGGGCCGGCAGGATCCAGGCCTGCAAGAAAGACCAATTGAGGCTTGCAAGAGGAAGTTCTCCTCCTCCAACTCTTTGTAACACAATCTAGGGTTATGACGACATTGCAAAGTGCCCAAAGACCAGTCTCTGTCTGGAGCAACTTACAGGTCAACACAAGAAGTGAAGGAGAGCAGAGGCAACCCAGGACAACAGTGGTGATATATTCTGGTTACATGTAGCTAACCAGACTTCTCCAGTCTGGTGCTCCTTGCATTCCTTGGCCAGCATGGCTGAAGGTACCAGTTTGAGGAAGAATCTCCTAAAATATGGCTCATGAATCGCTCTTTTCTCTTGGCTAAGGAGGTCCTGTGGTCTCGCCAGCCCTAACTGAAGCCTGGGCACTTTTCTCATCTCTTCTGGTGCAAGTATAACCATGCTCAGACCCTTGAAGTCAATGGACCATGATCCAGAGGGGAGATTCAGAGCAGCCCTCATGAAAACGCTTTCTGCACACTGGGAACAGTGTTAATTAAGCAGAAGGTAAGAAAGATGCAGTGCATGTGAACATGTCTAGCTCGAAGCATCAGCACTGTTGTGCAGCTTCCCAATGCCAGCCCTTGAAGAAGGAGGATTATTCTGCCCAAATAGTGCCGCCCAGAACAGGCCCATTGTCCTGACCAGGCAGGGAATGAATCAGAGGGCAACGTCTTCTTCAGAACATATCCAGAAGGGACATAACCCAGCGGCAGAGTCTCTTTTTTCACACGTGGAAGATCTCAGCTTCCCACAGAGGTGTGTTCATGCATGTGGTTCTCTGTACGGAGCGATTTTCTTTCTGGTATCTTTCTCGGCACGATCCTGAAGAATCCACGTCAGTGTTTTGGAAAAGTTGAGGAGCCAGAGGCCTGATGAAAAAGCAATCCCTGATGGCTGTAAAGGAGCATATGTGTTTTTCTTCCAATTAAGCTAATTATTCCCATCTAACTGTCAATATCTGCGAGTGCCGAGCTGCCCTCCAGGCCACTGCCTGCCTGTGAACTTGCCAGCAGAGCCTTAGTGGAGAAATGCCCCATTCCCACCCAGCTTCCTCCATATGTGGGGCCAGCAGCAGCAGCAGCAGCCGCCAAGGAGCCAGCTCTTCCCCTCAGCCGCCTCTTTCCCGGGGGTCCAACAGCAGATAGCTTTGTCGGCCCCACCCTGGGCAGAGCTGCCGAATGACCAGGGTCAGCCTGAAGCGAAGTCTAACCAAGCGTCCAGCTGATGAACCAGGAAGCTTGACTTACCGGTAATCCTGCCGATCTTCCCGTTGCCTCTCATGGAGCTGCCGGCAAAACCGGCTACGTGGGCCCCCAGACTGTACCCCACCAGGTGAGCATCGCCTCGGTGGAACTGCACCGATTCCTGGAAAAGAGGCCCGGGAAGGGATGGAGAACCTTGAGGACCGAGGCCAAGAGGCGAGTTGCTGCCGCAGCCAGGACATCTGGCAACCTGCAAGGCCCACACTAATTCACTTGGGACATCATAGTTGTGATCACACATTCTGCCAAGGCATAATGTGGCTCGGCTCAGAAAGTTGTATGCACCCAGACGTTGCTGTTTGTTCACATTCAGGGATATCTTAACATGGTGGGAAGTTCTTCTGAGTAATCTGCCTGAGTGTTTTTTCCTTGCCTGCTCCTCTTAGATGACCTTGCTGTTGGGCCCTCTCATCATCCCACCTGCATCTTAGAGGCCCCTCCAAAGGGCTCAGCAGGTTAGCTGTGTGGAGCTCTGCAGGCTGGCATTCATGGGGGGCTCTCTTTGGGCAGGGCCAACCTAGTCCTCCTTCAAAGCCATCAGGGGCCCGCATATCCTGGGGCAGAAGATGCTGCAAATTAGAATCTGGCATCCTCAGACTCTCAGCTGGCCAGAAACAGCAGGACAGACCTTGATCTGCATCACAAACAGATGAGGAACTTGCTGTCCCTGTGGGGGTTCCCAGAGATGGAGAGTGGTAAGTTCTGGAGCAGCACATTTTGCCTCCTGCAACACCCCACCTTTCCCTGAGGCTCCAGTGGGCTATTAGTGGTGCTGGGCCTCCAGCGTACTCCCCCCACATTTAAGCGCTTCCAAATCAAGAGCAGACTCGGTTGAGGGAACGCTGAGCCCGAGCATCCCAAGGCTGCGGGGCTGGGGCTCTCCTTCCTGCCTTGTCCATAGCGCCAGCCTTTTGGGGCTGAGAAGACCAGACGCCCCCCTGAATGAGCATTTCTCCACACTCTTGCCCTCCTGCTTTTTTTTTTTTTTAACATTATGGAAAAGGAAAAACTAGCAGGACTACCCACTGCCCTCTACCCCACAGCACGGGAAGCCCCTGGCTCCGTCCAGGCTGGACAGCAGCCTTTGAAGAGAGGTGCCTTCCTTGGAGGGAGAGACCATGATGACCTCTTCCAAACGAGCTGTTTTGTTGAGTTATTTCGGGAAGAAGGCGAGCCAGCCCACTTCCGCAGTGCTGGCAGAAGAGACCGCGCGGATGCAGTCGCCAAGAGTTGCGCCTGACTCAAGGGTGGTTTGACCTTTTTTGAAGCAATGTAGCTCACTGGAGTACACGCAACGCAAGTGGGGAAAAGAAGGCCATGCAAGCTGTTGTGGTTCCTGAAGCAGCGCCAGCCTTGCCAAGCTTCTTCTCCATGATTCCCACCGCAGGATGGGATCCAGGAAATGGAAGCCACGGGGAGGCAGATTTCAACCAAGGTGCTCCTGAAAAGCCTCTGGCTTTGGAGCAGGCTGCCTCAGGCGGTGGCATCTCCCCTCCCAGGCCCTGCGAGGCTGCCTTGTGTTGGGAACGGTCCTTCGAGGCCCTTTCCAGCTCTCCGCCCGTTCTGTGGCTTTCTGCAAAGCAGCAGTGCTCAAGACAAGGCTGGTCCTGGCCAGCAGCAAAAAGGGTTTCTGTTTCTGGCCAGAGTCAGGATCAGCTGGTTTTAGTTCCCATCCAAGCACCTCCCTACGTGTGCCCAGAGCAGCTACGGACGGTCTGCGCACATAGATCAGCGTTGGTCTGAAGGGCAAGACGGGCAGCGCAGGCAGCATCAAGGAGGCCTTTCCAGGGGCTGCCTCTGGGAGGGTCCTGGGCTGGTCTGCATCAGAGCCCGGAAGATACCTGCTGCGGATGCTGGGCCCAGCCAAAACGTTGCACGTCGGAGGGGGCAGGGCAGGGCGGGGCAGGGGGTTGAGAGGAGATAAACAAATGGTTCTGTTTGCCCGCTAAGGGTGCTTACCTCCAGCCACTCTAGGAAGTGAGCAATTTCTTGGCCAACGCCTCGGGTGTTCTGCACAGCAATGGGGTAATGTGCGTGCGCAAGAGAGAGCCAGTCGGCGATGATGACGTTGGTCTGAGTGAGGTGCGCTTTGAGCTCCTCAGCCAGTTTCCAAATCCAGCCTTCGAGTCCCCCGTCCACCTGCAGCCACAGGACCAAGGCAAACACCTTCTTGCCGGGATTCTTCACCGAGGGTCACCAGCACCCTTGGAAGATTGCCCAGAGTCCGCCAGCAGGCCCGGGCACCTCCCAGTTCCCAATGGCACAGTGTGGATGGTTGCCACCTCACGCCCAAAGGAAGCGCTGCTGTCAATCACCTTGGCCCTCAAAGCATATCATTTCATCCATCTGTTCTTGTACAGGGAGAAACGTTTTGTGCCACACGGTTTTGGGTGAGTAGCACAATTATATTTAACTGTGTGTATATGTACGCGTGTGGGTGTGCGGGAGTGCTTGTTTCAGAGAAGTAATTCTTTGAACGCCAGGGCTGCTCCTCCTTGGGAGGCCCATGAAAAGAAACGACAGCTGCATCCACGGACTACCGCGGGGCTGATACGGCAACGGCGTGGTCCCTCCAGCCCTGTGCGGGTAACTCCGGGGCCTCTTCCCATCGAGGAACAGGAAGCCTGCCCCCCAACTCAGGGCCGTGGCCCTTCATTGAGCTGCGTGCATGGAGCAGCAGAGGGCAGCTGCCGGGGAGGGCGAAGACGGGCCGCGCATGAGGCCCTCCCAGACCATGTCCCCCGCCCGAGACAAAGAGCCCCCTTACCGACCACCCATGGATGATCATCACCAGCGGGAGGGAAGCATTGAACCGGCACCTCTCGAGACTGGCCTCGCAGTGGGGCTCCATCAGGCAGCCTTGCTCCACCGTGTTGGCATAGAGCAGGAACTTGGCCTTGCCGGGCGAGGGGCCATTCTTCTGGGGAAGCGGCTGCCGCCGGGGCCCTGCAAGAGATCATGGGAAAGCCACGCTGAACTGACTGCCAAAGAGATGGGCTTCTGCCCTACGAACGCTCTGCGCGCGCTCGCCCTAAGGAATCTGGCAGCTAGCCGAAAGAAGAAACGCACGTGGGAAGTGTGACTGAGGATGGCGACGGTTCCTCCATGAACTGACTGCTGACCTTGGGCAGCCATTCATGGCTTGCACCTGGCTTGATTCTAAATCACGATTGGCTTAATCATACTGGGTCTCTGAATGAGCCCTAGTTGGCTTCCTCAGCAAGGCCATAAATATATGACTTATTAAATCAACATCCTGGATCCCCCCAGCCTATTCTCTCCCTTCCTCTTTCCTCGGATTAGGATGAACCTCGATGCGGCTAAGGGCCCACAGACACCCCAACTCGCGTGGTCAAAATCTGCAAAGGGAACTTTTGGAAGATCATCTCCATGAAACTGGTGGGTGCAGGCAGACGCCAAACAGGTCAAATTTAAGAAGTTGTGGGGGATCCAGAGAGGTCAGTCACCGGTGCCAAGGCAGACCCCGCTCTGCCCACCTGCCTCTGTCGATGGCCACGTGAAGGGTCAGACAGGCTGAGGGTTCGGGTTCAGGCAGGTCCAGAAAAGCAACGGCTGAGAAGAGCTTCGGGCCTCCTTGTAAACAAGCAGACGTGGTTTGTCGTGGAAGACTTTCCCTCGCAGGGCTGCCCTCTTCTCCTCCCCTGGCACCAAACAGCCCCCCCACCCCACCCCAGCATTGTCTCTGCAAGGAAGAGAAGAAAAGGGGCTCTGGAAACCTCATTAACCAATGAGAGCACAAGAGCATCTGCCCTAAAGCCGGGCACACCCCTGAGCTAGGTGAGAGCTGCGGCAGCTTGGCCCGATGACAGCCAACATTCCAGCATGGACAAGACTGGGAACCTGGGCATGGGGGCACCTGAAAGGCCAACTAAAGCACCTTTACAGGGAACCACTTTTTTTTGCTTCTGGGGCCATAAGAGACTCGCCTCTTTGGGAGCAACTTTGCTGCTCAGCGTCCGGCAGCCTCGGAGGAGCAAGGGCCTCCACCACAGCCCCACCTTAAGAGGGCCTCCTCAGGGGCCTGGGGTGCCCTACGCCTCGCATATCCAGGCTCAGCAGAGTTTCATCCACACAGCTGATTAACCCTGCCCGTCTTGGGCTCCCGCTTCTGTGCGTCAGGGCGCATCAGAGGACTTGCCCCAGTTTTGCCCTTCCTTCCAGGACGTCCCAAAGCCACAAGTTGCTGCCAAGGTGCTGAAACGGGTGCATCTGCGCCCCCTCCCCCCAGCCAGAGCGATGCAGGCTCTGCAGATTGGAAGTGGGCTGCTGGGGGCTCTATTTTTAGCATCCAATTCTCAGCAGCAATCTTCTCTAGCAGAACACAGAAAAGCAATGTCTTTCATTTCCCGCTTTGGAATCCCCTTGTAGCCAACCACATTTTCCTCTGTTCATTCTCTTCTCTGTTGCTGCCGTTCTATGAACTACTTTGGGAGCCTGACTTTAATGTAATAAAGCAGAAGTATTTTTATTAGGTCTTTGCAATAAGCGCAGGGCATACATATTTCACTGCAACACAGCCTCCCGCCTCTTGCAGCCAGCCGGTTGCGGCAAAGAAGCACGCTGAGGGCCGCTTCTCCCGCAGCAGAGGTCTGCAGGGGTGGCCAAGGGGAGCTTGCAGAAACGCGAGGCAGAGGACCCAGCAGCACCCGGTGCCACGCTGCCCAAAGGGGCTGCTCTGAGCTGCAGGGCAGGAGGAAGGGGGGCTCAGAAACCCGCTGGGGTCCGGGAACAGGCGAGATGAGTCAGAGCGGATCGGCTCCAGAGACCCCACCCCTGAGAAGGGCCTTCGGAGCTGCCCTGCATTGCCTTTCCACCTCTGAGCAAACCGAAGGCCGCGGGTGGCAGAGGCGCTTACGCTGCCCGGGGGTTTGCTCCTGCAGTCTCCCTGGCCACCTCAGCGGGATGGGGTGCAGCCATTTGGGGGCCCAGCGCCAAGAGAGGATGAGGATGGTGGGCCGTCCCCGGGGGGAAGCCCAACAGTCGGAAGGTCTTGAGCAGGGTCGTGCCAAAACAGCCCAGGTTTGCCCGGCCTCGATCGGCAGGGAGCAAAATCTCGGCCCAAACCCTCCCAGCCCACGGCTTTGCCCTCCCGAGAGCTGCGCGTGCTTTGCCAGACGGAGCAGACACCGATTGCAGGCAGCTTTTCCTACAACCCAGAGATAATCCCAGACAGGCAGGATAGGATGCAGATGTAAAGGGGGGAGTGGTGTCCGCAGGGCGCGATTAGAAGAGTCAACATGGCGCCTCCAAGGGTGCGATTCGAAGCTCTGCCTGGTTTTTGCACATAAAAAACAGGCAGAGCTTTACCCTGTCACGGCTGCCATCTTGACTTTTTTGACCACACCCTGCAGACCCCCCTGTAGGAAACAGCCAGCTATAAATTACCTCCTCTTGGCAGCAAGCATCGCCCCTCCCTAGGCTCTGCCCCACAGAAGAATCATCTTAAACAGCCAGCCCAGGGAGAAGGTTGAATGTTCACGCTGCGCTAAAGATTTTTATTCAAATATTAAAGCTGCAAATCTACTCGTTGAACAATGGGGGGGGGGGAGAAACCAGGCCAACTGAACTGCCTGGAGGATTGCTGATAGCGGATATTATGGGCCAGGGAGTTTGGGTCTGCCAGACCCGTTCTGTCTACAGTTCTCGCTATCTCCTCCTTAAGTTAGGTCCCTATTATGATTTTCTTAGCGCTTGGTGCCTGTTTTCCTGGGGGCCTCAGAAAACCCTTCCTGCTGGCCCCTGTGGCCCCAAAGTTCCCCCGGGGCCCCACCTTGCCTTTCCTTCACAAGGGGCCCCTGCAGTGGCCAGGAACGGAAGATCCTGCCAGAGGTCAAGGCGGCCTTCCTGCGCTGCTGAAGGAGTCACGGACCCGCCAGATGCGCGCTCTGACTCACAGCCTTGCTGTTTGCTCTTTCTGCGCAATGGAAGACTTTTGATTGTGGGGTCCACTCTGCCTGAGATCCAGCAGACACTGCCGGGGCGAAGGGCATGGGGATGCCCACTCTCAGCATAGCAGGCCAGCTCCCTCTCTTTGCCTATCCACTCATGTCAATTCTGTGCCCTAACAGAGGCGGGAAAAAGCCAGGCATCGTAACGCAGTCTGGGGGGAACTTCCCCACTCCGGGAGCCCCGCTGGGTCCTGCTTGACCGTCTGCCCCACCCGTGCTTGGAAAGAAACTGCGCCAACCAAGGAACCAAGCCAACGCAGACCCCTGGGCTTCGTGGTGCTGCTCAGCTCCGTGGCCCTGCTGCCAGCACGGCCTGCGCTCTGTCTCCAGCAGTTCCATCCCCACTAAATCGCGGTTCGCTCACTGGTGTTTTTCTTTCCTCTCCCACGTGGCGAGGCTGGGAAGCAGCTCCACAGCAGGTGACGCTTCAGTAGCAGAAGGGAGGCTACGTGTGTCAGTGCCGCTCAGTGAACTGGTGGACTTCGGCTGAGCTGCCTACCCGCGGGGCTTCGTTTCAGTCGGACCCCTCCGGGCTGTGACCGTGGAGGATGTCAGCCAAAGGGCCAGAATCCAGCGCTACATCCCCACATCCTTTTGGAGAGAATGCTGTCAGGGACAACTGTGCAGGCTGGGGGGAAAGAAAATCTGGCCAGAAAAGTCCGGTTAAATTTCACGCCCGAAATCCAAGAGCGCTCTGGCCTCCAACGAGTTATTTCCCTCCGCTAACTGGGCATAAAGGTAATCCAGGGGCAAAAGGGAGGAGACATGCTGCAGGATGCCACTGCCGTGCCAACCAGCACAAGGTACTATGAGCCAGTTTCTGTTTTCCTATCCAGCCCTTTTATGGGGATTAGGCCAGCAGAAGGTCCAGGGGGCTGGAACCTGGGTTCTGCTCCCGATTTTGGAGCTTTTTGCCCCACTCCCACCAGAAAGGACCGCCTCTTCGACCACAACAAGAGGTGATGAATGCGGGGAGAACTAAGGCACCTTCTACTGTATTCTCTGCAATGTGTTAATCCAGGAAGGGCACAGGATGCATTTATTTATTCATTCATTCATTCGTCAAATTTATATGGCTTGCTGCATTGTATTTAAAATCCCTTTATTCATAATTAACCAGGGTGAATTCTTCCCACACATTTCTAGTTAGTATGTCTTATTTGCAGGCCTAGAATAATTGAATGTAAAGCCTGAAGACTAAGGAAGAAATTAAATTCTCCCATTCATAATTAACCAAGGTGAATATTTCCCACATTCTCTCTGGCCTGTATTTCTTACCTGCGGAATTTGGAATAACTGAACACAGAGATGGAAGGGAAAGAAGGAAAGGGGGAAATGGAGGATTTAGCAGAGTCGAATCAGTCTTGCTAGTGCAAGAAGCAGGATAGGCAGGACCGGAAGGAACGCCAAGTTCCTAAAAAGCTCACCCTTCAAAGGACGCTGCGCGCACCTGCTCCCAAGATTTTATGAAGCGAGACCATTTTCCACCCGGAGTGGCTTAAGACCCCCGATTCGTGGCTGGAAAAATGTCCTACCCAAATCCTTTCTTTGATCAGATCAGGCTGAGAACGCGGTCACTATCAAGCGTATGCAGCCCAGGGCCGTCTTCTGGATCCGCTGGTAGAATTACTGCTCCCCTACTGTGCTTCTCAGCAGAGTGAAAACAAGAAGTCGTAAAAACAGGATGCAACACACCTCAGCAGGCCTAAGTGCCCTTCAGCTAATTGCAGGAAATGTGGGGCACTTTGGCAGGTCTTGAGAAAAGGGGGCAAGATGGCAACATCGCAGAGGGCCAGAGTCCCACTGCGTGGCATTGAAGCAGTTCAAGGAAGTTGCCTCGGTTTAGGAGAGGAGGTGAAGCTCCCCCAATGGCCTGGCTGTGCTGGGGTGCACCGGGCATAGGGCTGACAGTTCTGGGGATGACGGTCTGCCAGCCCAGCAACTGGGCTATTGCTATGGCACTCCTTCTTTGAGGATGGAGATGCAACCTTTGGGGAGATTTTTGCATGAGGAAGGTGATCGATCCTGTATTTGCCCCATCAGGAAAGGAGGGCTCGGCCTCCCGTGGCAGGTGCCCCTCCGTTGCCAAGAAAGGCTGCAGTGTCTCTTAGACCAAGTGGCTGAGGAAGGAGAGGGACCCTCTAAGAAATTCTGTCATGGCCTCCCACATCTTTGCAACAGCCCCAAATATCAGCCAACTCCTTTTGGAACCACCACCAAATCTCGCCTAGAGACAGTCTTATTTTTGTGAAAGCTTGGAGGGAATTTGGGCACCAGCAAAATGGAGAAATGGATTTTTTAAAAAGATCAATTGGTTCGTACGTGTCTCAGTTTGCTTTCCAAGTCCTGACAAATAGGGCCAGCTTTTTATTTAAGTACTCCGGTTTGCAGAAATTATTGAGGGGGGAAACATTTCCAATCTCCCTTCAGCCCCTCAGGCAAAGGTTCTTTCACGCAGCCTCAATTGAAACCCTCCAACTAGTCATGCAGTATTAAAATCTTCTATTTTGCATTCCCTCCACCCCCTGCATCAAAAGAAAAAGAGTTTGCTTCTTGATCCTTGCTGCATCAGGCAGAGCCACCAGATTCCAAATCCCTGCCTGAAAAGGAGCCCCAAATTGACATCCGCAGTGCTGTTGCTAAGCAAACACCGCTCGCTCGCCTCCTGGAGATAAAACTGCCTGTCCGGTTGGGGTCCAAAGTTCTTATTAAAGGTGGGGGACCCTGTTGCCCTGCCCTGCGCCACCAGGGATCGGCTGGCGCTGGCCTGGGGGCCGGCTGAGAGGTCTGCGGTGGGGGCCCTTCGTCAGCTGGGGGCCGTTGGCACCAACACTGGACACGAGCTTCCTCCGTCGCCCAGAGTCGGGCTGTAAGGGGAGGAGGGAGTTTTGCCTCGGGCTGCCCCAATTCAGCCTTGGAGGAAATCAGAGGAGCGTGGGGTGAGTTTGGGCTCTGGTGGGGGGGATCCCGCTGCCTGGGGGGGTCAGCAGCGCTTGGCCGAAGCGCCTCCTTTCTGCTGCTCCGCTGGTACCTGGCAAGTACCTTTGTGCCATTTTCCCAGGGGCCGCTCTCCGTTCTTCCAAGAAGAAAGTGGCTTCTGGAGAGCCTGAAATACCGCAGTGGGCAGACGGGGCTTTGGGGAGTCAGGGTCTCCTGGTTCAGCCGCAGGGCAGGCCAGGCCCCAGCTCAGAGCACGCGGAAGCAGGGCCTGCGGTTGGTGGAGCGAAGGGCCCGGTCCCTGCGGAAATCTGCTCCTCCCCACGTGCCCCCAAAGAGATGCAGCCGGATACTCAGGGATGCACGCGCGTGCCTCCCTCCCCCCAGCCCCCCCGCAAGACTAACAGCCTCGGCTCCCCTTCTGGGGCACCTGGAGCACAGTTCGCCCCCCGCTGTCGGAAGGGGAGCAACAGGCCCCTCCCAAGGCGAAGAGTGAAAGAACAGTCTAGACAGGGCTCCTTCTAAGTGCAGGGAGCATCCAGGCCCAAAGGGCTGGGCGGCAGCCGGGCCTCTTGGGGGGAGCCTGGGGAAACAAGTGGCCCATCAAGGAAGTGTTCCCAGATCACCACAGGACATGCCCGGGAGTCAGCCCAGAGGAGGGCCTGGCCTCCAGGGGACAACGGCTGGGCCGCTGTATCCAGCAGGTCGACACCGCGCTGGGAAGCGGGTCAGCAGGCGCCACGCAGGCGAAGGTCTGCAAACTCCAGGACACCCGAAGGGACAATGCGGGCCAGGAGACGGCACCGCCTTCCACCTGCGCCTGCGGTCAGCGGCTGGAGAAGCGGCGTCCTCCTCAAACAGGCGGAGGGGAAGCTCTGCTGTCCGGCTCACGCTCGCGGCAGCGTCTCAGATCCCTGCACAGCAGGGCTGCTTCTGCTTCGGAGGGGCCGGGTCAGCAGCTCAGGCGTTCCAGCCCGGGGCAGAGACAGTGGGAAGGTTTCCCGTGACATTGGAAGGGGACGGCTGGGCCAGACGAAGGGGATGTTCTGCCTGACCATCTCCTTTTCCCCAAAGCCACAGCCCTCGCCTCCTGTCGCTTCACTTCAGCCGTCGTTCGGAAGCGGACAGCCTCTTAACCTTGAACATCTTGGTTAGTCGTTTCCATACGAACAAGAGCCCTGAAGCCGGGTCAAGCCGAGGCCCCGCGGCCCAGCCCCTCACTTCCATTTTGCTACCAGACAACTTGGATGGGGGGCCCAAGCCGGGGCCCGCAGCTCCTTCCCCAATCCCAGACAAACTGTCTTTCTGTCTCCGTCAGCGGGCATGTCCGCTCTCCACTGGCCAGGATCCCGCTTCACGAAGAAATGCGCTGCTGCTCCCGACCGCGCTCAGGGCCCAGGGTCGGCCCACCCGAGGCCTCTCCTGCTCTTTGGACAGGAAGTGCCCATTCCAGCGGACAGGCAAGGAGCAGCGGGGTCCTTCGGAAGCCAGGGCGGGCCCAGGTCGGCTGGCCTTCCTGCGGATCCACAAGCCGCTGCTTGAGACTAACCCCCCCGGAAAGCTGGAGGGTGGGCGGCTTACCTTTCCTCCGTCTGCCACTGGGATTCCCCTGAGCAAGGAGGGCGCAGAGCAGGAGCAGGAGGGCCAGAGGGGTTCTCATGGCTCCGCTTGTCTCTGAAGAGGCCCAGCTGGGCTGGCTCCAGGTGCCGGAGGGACAGGAAGGACAGAAGTGGGTCCCTCTTGTCGCTGGCAGGTAGTGAGGACTAGCAGCTCATTAATGATTAACTTTTGCATGGAATCCTAGAAAAATCAACTCAGTCTGGCCGGATCAGAAGCTGCTTTTGTGCCTAGCTCCCCGTGCGCGGAAGCCACCCCCCGCCCCTCCTGGCATTCTGGGTTTCCCTGGATGGGTTTTGCACACATGAATATTAGGCTGGGCTGATTTCTGTCTCACGATCCTGAGGAACCACTGCCAAAAGCTGCGGGGTCAGAGGTCATCCACTCAGCTTTTATTGACCTTTGCCCGGACCTATTGCAAGAGGGAAACTGGAAAGGCAGCCGCCGATGCTTCGCTTCTGGAGGTGGCACCCAGAGGTGGGTGCCTGGCAAAGCCGGAACAGCACGACGTAACTAGGGCCCAGGCTTGGATTCAGCGCACTCAGATTCCTCCACCACAACGCCACCCCCATTGCCCTCAGCCTGCACTGAGGCGGCATGGGAGCCATTCCGGGGGACAGGAGGAGCTGTGGAAGCCCCCGGTGGGCAAAGTGGCAGAGCTGGACCTCTCTGTGCCCTGACCTGAGCGCTGCCCGCTGGGTCTCCTTGTTAGGCATGGCGCGCCCCAGCGCCCACCTCCCTGCCAGTGTGGCAGAGGATTCTGGGCCAGCTCACTCCAACATCTCTTGACCTCAGGCCCCTCTTTTGGCCTCAGCCCCCTCCCCCCCATTGACCCCCCAGGCCTCCTTCCAGCTCCCCTCAAGGGTCAGCCAAGAACCCAGGTCCCAGGGCAGCAATGGGGAGTGGAAATCTGGTTATTCAGACTCTGCGAGAAGCAGCTTTCTTGGCTGGAGGGGCTGGACAGAGACCACCTCAAGGATGAGATGGGGCTGAATGGCCTGAAGAAGCAAGTTCCCTGCGTTCCAGAGGCTTGACAGTCTGTTGGCTTCCGTTGGTGTTTTAAGGGTGAGCAAAGCCTTGCAGAACAGTTGGGGAACAAGAAGAAGATGATGATGATGATGAGACGACTTGGAATCCCGCAGAAGACCCCTGAATACGTTTCCTAAATGGCAACAGGAATAGGATGGGTCCTTTCCAGTCCCTTGGCTGGGCTAGGGTCTTATTCAACACAGCCTTTGCAATTATAATGGCTGGGAAGAAATGAAAGGGAGAGACCCTTGGAGAACAGCGCGCGGGGTCTCCTGCGATTTCTCTGAACTCCTCTGTGTAATTAAGGCAGACGCAAGCCCTCCGGCCACATGCAGCTATTTCATCTTCTTGCAAATAATTGTTATTGGTCCTTGTCAAGGATGATAAAGTGGTTTTATAAATTGATGAACACTTCGGAGACAGAGCTGATAAAGGCTTTGTCAGGGAGATTCCTGCTTCTTCCATAACGCCTCCCAAGCTTTTGCTTAGCCTGTTTTTTCATGATTTTCCCTGATTAGCTTTTCTGGCTGGTCGCCATCAGCTACATCCCACTTGCTTTGTGGGAAGGGAGAGTGCGAAGAAAGAATTGGGCGCTGTGGCTGGCGGAAGAGACTCCCATTGTGCAGCGCCTTTCGCTCGGCCGAAGGGGCAGGTCCTGCCGAAGGAGCCGCTGACCTGTGGCAGGAAGCGGGGACTGAGCTGAAACACGAGTGGCGATGGGGTTCCACGCCACACGCAAAAGAGATTGGCTCAGTTAAAACTGCCACCAACCGCTTGCTGACTTTCTCCCCCCTCTCCCCCCAACCCTCTTGCCAAACGAACACCGGTGTTTCAGAAATTTAAAATAACAGTTAAAGACCAAAACCAATCAAACATAACAGAACCTGCAGTTGAGCCAACCGTCTTGGAGCAGACGGAGTCCTCACACGGACTTTCCCTGGCCTTCCAGGTGAGTGCTTTTTCCAGATGGACGAGGGTCCAGCAATATGAGCTTCATCTCTTGATGCAAATGGTGCTCTGAACCTGGGAGGGGGAAGGGGGGAAAGCAGAAAAGATGATCAGAGAGAATTTCTCCTCCATCCCCGCTTTGTGGAGCCTCAAAGGTGGGTGTAAAAGGCCCCCGAAACGCTACGTTTTCCATTACTGGAAACATCTGCGCAAAACATTTGTGCACAAGGCCCTGCTGAGAGCTTTCCCAGCTTCTCAGTTCTGTCCACACCAAGAGTTGATCCTTCTCTCCTCTTGCTGACCCAAACGCCATACAAGGGGTCCCTGCGAGGGATGTGGAGCGGAAGAGGGTGGAAGGGGGGTCGGCACGCTCAGAACTGACCTTTTTCCAACCTAGTGAATGTGAGGCTTGGGCTCTGGAAGACATCCTGCTGAGACTGGCTGCTCGCTGGCCAGCCTGGTACTGTAGAAGCACTGCTCCGAAGGAGGCAGCTCAGAGCTGAAACGGGAGCACGTGGCCGCTGCGGAGCATCAGCGGGAGCACGGAGACCTTGCTGGGCTTACTAGCCGTGTCCCCCAGCTCCTTCAGGATCCTCCTGTGGCTGGCTGGTCAATATGGCCTTTGGCACTGTGCGTGTTTGCCCTTGTCTGGCTGTGCCCCCTCTCCTCTGCCTGCTTCATATTATCTTGTTATAAGCCCATTCCTTTTCTGTATCTGCGTGCGCCACTGTTTTCTTCGTTTCCCTTCGACACAATCCCGAAGCAGTTGCCTTGATGAGTGACGCGTGGAAGAGGAGACAGACCTGTGAAAGATGGGAGAGCTGAGGGCCAGCAGAGACCCCCCGCCCCCCGGCCTGAAGAGGGAATCAGGGCAGGGCTGCCGCCGAGGCAGTCCTGCAAGCCGAGATGCCCAGTTCTCTGGGATTTGCCTCTGAGCTGTGGGCCCAGATTCGCAGCAGCAGGAGACGGGGGGCTCCTTGGCAACGGCTGCCCAACGCAGCCATTGTCTTGAAGGGCCAACAGAGCCCAAGGAGGAGGTAAATATTAATTTCACAGCTAAGCACCTTGGACTGCTGACCCCTCTCAGTGAGTGAGTTGCGCTGTGTCAGGTGGGGAGCCCAGATTCTCACGTGCTGCATGGCAAAATGTCACATTCCTTTCGGGATTACATTTTGTGTCTTCAGCTTTATTTTTTCTGCATGTTCAATGGAGGGTGCAATCTCCATTTAATCCCACTCACACTCCCATTCAGGCAGTTACTTGCCATTTAGATAAAAAATAGCACTCACTCGAGGCTCTGAGGACGTGAAGTTCTCCTCTGCCCGCCGAACGCCAATCAAGGCCAACGCTTCCCTGCGTCCCTCAAGGTGCCTCGGGAGCAGCAGACCAAGGGTTCAAAAAAGCGGCTCCTTACAGGCTCGACAGAATCTTCCAGAATTCACAGCAGCTCCTTCCCGCTTTCTCTGAGCATCCCATTGATTCCGGCATAGAGATCTTTGCTTTCTATTTTTGGGTGCAGCACGAGATGAGATGCTATTCCAGACGGACGGCTTCCCATCACTGCTCAGCAGACAGCAAAATGTCTACCCTGCAATCAGAGGCCCAACGACCACACACAGAAGTGCCCCCCCGCCTTCCTGGCTGCCCCCAGCCATTGCAAACTCTGGATTTCAAGCCAGTCCGAACCACTCCAGTTGCCTCTGACATCTCGCGAGGATGAATGCACCGTGGGTTGATGTTACCTCTCTTCTCTTGGGCCGTTCCAAAGCCACTTAAGTTAAAGGAGACCCCAAAGGCGGGGGGGGGGTCAGTTGGGTTGAATTCTCAAATGGTGAAGGACATGTGAAAACTGAGTGGTTGGAGACATGAGGGCCAGATGCAGAAACACTGGTGCATATCTATATGTTTAATGCATAGGACCAGCCACCTATCTAAAGCAACAAAACCAAAACCGGAACACTCCACCCAAACCCCCCCCACCAAATCCAGGCCCCCAGGAAAAGCCCCAGGTCCCCTTAGCGGGTGCGGCCCAGCCAGGCTCCAGTGGCCAACCTCCTGGCCCCGATGGAGAAGAGAGGCTTGTGGGGCTGCCGGGGACACTGCTTCAGCAAGGGGG